ATACATATATATATATATATATATTGTACGCGTCGAGTTATTTTAGTTACTGTACTTAGGCACGCGCGCTATCGCAATAGCAATCGTCTGTATGTATATCTTAGCCCACGTAGGAAATGTGCCACGTTCAAACTGTTCGTTTGATTAGCACGCGTTTAATTTCGAGATAGTACGTCGCACACACGGCGTTTCAAGCGACCATTACGCAAGGGCAAGCTCAGTTGCTTTCGCATCGCCGGCACCGAATTCGTTGAACGTGAACACCGCATCTCGCTTTCGGAGAAATGCCTCCCCTTCCCCTCCCCCCATAATAATGATACGTGGAAATGTGTACAAATTTTTATGCGAGCATAACCCGATAGTCAATCACGGCGGAGCATTTCTCACGGTGAATATTCCGGGACAACAATAGCCGACGAGCGCGAGAGAGATACTTATGCGTCGCTGTAACTGCATCCACTTTCCTCGTCGTCGTCGTCGCTACTTGAACACCCTGTGTGTGTGGTGCCGCAAAGTACATTCTGCCCCTCGAGTTTCATTACCGATCATTTTAGCCGACGTTGTTGCGTCACAACAACGGGATTCTTGTACGCGCAGTGACGCGGCCGCGACGGAAAATAGCCGGTCTGTACGCGAGCGCGCAGTACGGAATGTTTTCGGAGAATATACGCTGGATACTCGCTCGTGCGTAAAGCGAGTCATATGCGTTCAAGAGAGACAGGAATCCCGTGAGCCACACGTGTAGCTACGCGTATCGCTACGTCTGTTTACATCGGATTCGCCGCGAGCGTATTAATCGCGTTGAGACCGACTTCGGGCAACGCCACTCGTTTATCGGCAGGTGAATCCTTTCGTCGCAACATACGGATCGCACAATTGAAAAATGGCCGGTGTCGCGTTCAAGTTGAATGCGTTTGATGACTGTCCACGAGCAATCATCAGGACTTTGCTTTGACCCGGCAGCTTTTATATTCGGTCATACCGTCGTCGTCTTTTCGTCCGGATGATCCGAATTAACGTTTCGCACACACGGCTCCTTGTTTTTACCCGCTGAGAACTTGATGAGAATAGGAATTTCGGGCGTTACATAACCAGATATCCTCTACATGCCGACGTGTCCACAACTACATAACTGTAATTTGATGAGTATGGTATCGATGTACGTGTACGTACATAGAGCGTTACGAACGAGGCAACCATCATAATATTGGCGATTTAGCAGAATTTCTCTCTTTCCCCCTTCTCCTTCTGTCTTTCTTTCTTCCTCTGCGTGACGTAAACAGGTAGAATTAAACGTACCGTTCCGTTTCCTTTAGTTGACATAGCGACAAAAAGTTACAAAGTTGAAACAACTATGGATGCCTCTTTCGCGTGCCACCGTGTTGTACACTTACATTTGTCGTATTAGCGCGTAACAGACAAGCCATAGTTGTAACGTTATTTGTAACTTCGCGAAACGCGTTATTTTTACTGCGACTGATAGGACAGTGAGAGTGAGAGAGAGAGAGAGAGAAGGATGAGTGTGAGACTGAAAGGGAGAGAATCTCTTCGCAACTATCATCTATCTATCTGTCTAACTTCTACGAAACTCAAACGTTCATATCCGGCACAAAGTCAAAAGGATGGAAGCGCGTAACGAGTAGTCAGTATCGCCGCGAATATGTTCTCACACGTTGCATTCTCTTTTCATTCTCTTCCGTGGAGATTGGTAATGATACATACATACATACATACATACATACATACATACATACATACATACATATATATATATGTATGTATGTATGTATGTATATATATGATATACATACGCTGAGAGATCGCACAAGTTTTTCTTTTCTTTTATCGTACGTATAAAACGGGCATGCAAGTATCTATATATATATGTACACACATGTATGTGTGTGTGTGTGTAAAATATTTTGACACGCAGGTATGTTATATTATTTGTAAATACGACAGTGTGTCAGATTCGTGTGCAAAGCAATGATTTCGACAGACTCGTTGAAAAAATAGCGCGTCTCGTAATCTGGATCGCGGGTGCGAGGAGCAACAGGCTAAGGAGAGTCGCATTCATAAATCAATGTGATACCGTTTTGACGATCGTTAACGCGAGCGAAATGCGAGTGTTTCGCGACGATCGTCAACTCGTAATCCTCCGATCAACCGGGATCAACGGTATTGCAGAAAGAAAAAGAGGGAGAGAGAGAGAGAGACAGAACGGTCAGTGCTACGCATAAAAACGCCAATCGTGTGAATGAGTGAGGAAAAAGAGAAAAACGCAGCACGTTGTCCGCGAAGCGCATTATTGTTTCGTCCTTAGCAATATTCTTTGTGGACCACGTCGCCGATTATGTAGCCTTAAATAGCGAAAGTGAAAGTAGACGTGTGTAATTGGAATTAGCGTAACAGAAGCAGTGGCGTAAGGGAATCCGACGTACGCGGCAACCGCCGCGAGCAAAAAGCTGCTAAATTGTTAGTTGCGTCAATCATCCGCGCGAGAATTTGGCGATCTGCGGCCCGGTTGCACTAACGTCGGTTAGCGCGCCCAATCACGATCGATTTCACCCTCCTCTATCTACATTGTAGGTGTACACTACTATTGTAAAAAGCTATAATGTAGAAAAGAAAAGAAAGATGCGTGAACGAGCAAGCAACGCGGATCCAAGAGATGCTCGAGAGAGAGAGAGAGAGAGCGATGTCCTCGCGAGGACGTCTCTTGGTGATTTGACGCGTGACATTTCCAACATAATTGATCCGAACTGTCGGTGCAACTCAGCCTGCGTAATTTAATAATAACGATAGAGCGGATAACTCAATAGCTAAGTAACTCAAATGACCATTTGTTTCGGAATTCGAGGCCGTTATGCATTTCCAATGAGAGCACGAAACGTCTACATGATGGTTGCGCGCGGCCGAGACCGCGCCGCGGTTTAACATTTAGATGAGCAAATCATTATTGTCGTTAAATACTGTTATTCGATAAACAATCTCCTCGCATTGTCGAATTTTATTAAAATGGATAGTATCGTTGTAAACATTAATTATTAATTGTCATCCGTGACGGGCGTCTGTCGTGGCGATCATTGTTAGAAGCTGACCTACTGAAAGTAGCGGCTTGAGTGAGTCTTTTGTAACGCTAGTGTCGACGATATATACGCAGAGAATCGGGTTTAAACTGTGCACAAAATCTCGAAAGTTCACACAACTCTCGTGATGAAATCATGATCGATGTTCACAAATACATTAACGGCACGAGCACGAATTTGCTTTTTTGTAAGAGGATTTATCGTGGAATTTTATATCCTAGTTTTAAACGAGACACACACAGGTTTCGATTCCCGAGAGGAAGCGACAGACGATTTACACGGTGGCCATTTATGTTTCTTTGCGACTTCTCGGATAAACCAAAAGTCTAATTTTACGGTGAACACACTAGTGCGTCTTTCACTCGGTCGAGAGAGAGAGAGAGAGAGAGGATGGTGAGTGTGCATGGGGTTTCCCGTGAGATAAAATTGTATAGAGCACGCACTTACATCTGTCACGAATGAACCGTATTCGACAATTATAGTTTTAAGCAGCGAGCTGCGAGATAATGTCAGGTATACGTTCCCTTTGGATGGTTTCATCGACGGGACCGGCATTCGCCGCGTTCGTGCGTATAGTCCGCGACAACGACGTTGTATCCGCGTTGTATTTATAAAATCGACTCGGCTCGGCAGCTAATTGAGAAAGAGAGAGAGAGAGAGAGGGGAGGACACGTGACGATTGTTGACGATCGCGCGAGGGGGGTGCGAAGCGATCCTCGCTGAAATCATCCAAATATGTCATAATCTTTCTAACCTGGGCCAGTGCACTATCTTATCGCTCTTCCAATCGTGGAGGGGAAAGGAAATGTTCCATTATCTTGTATCTATATCATGGTTCCACCATGGTTCCATAGTGGATCGTGCCTTTCTATACTTTTCTCACTCGTTTCGTTGATTCCTTTCCATAGGCAAATTAGAAACGCGGAGTGACCTTACGTTTTCGCGGCCATTCCACCCGGAATCAATCCCGACAGGCGGTCGAATCTAACGCGCATGTGTAGATATTTTATACAGCTTCGGGGGAAGATACGCGATTGCGACTTGTTCCTCCCTATTTGATTCTGCAACTGCGCTCCGTTTTACCTACGTTGTTATTATTACACCTCACGTCTCAACGATGTATCATCCTTGTTGTCAATCGCGTCGCATTTTCCAACGTGAGATCACTCTGTCGTTTTAGGGGAAAAAAAGAATTTGAAAAGCAAGAGAAAGAAGCTACTTGTGCCTCGAGCGCGTCATCTATTCTAGAAATTAAGCAATTAATCGAAATGTCATTTCTATAAGGATATATGTGTGGTGAACGATCGTCAATGCTATTTGGAATTTGACTTTTTCTAGTCTTCGATAGCGGTTCGCTGGGCTCCAGATTTTTATAAAGCGTAAAGTATCGCCGTAAAAATACATCATCGCGCGTTTAATGGTATATATAATAAGAGAGAGAAAGAGATACGGAGAAAAAGGAAGTGAGAGAAAGACAGAGCGAAAGAACGAGAGAGTGAGAGAGAGAGTTGGGGTTCATCGATGTTATCCCAAAAAAGAAAACAATATATCCAGTAAATTATAAGACACGACTGCGGATCAATAAAGTGTCACGATTGGAGGAGACTAGCGAACACAAGGTCGTTCCATAAAGATAATCACCTCTGATCCAAACCACTGTGACAAAGACGACGGATCGCATAATTGTTTTGCGCATGAACGCGAAAGAGATACGAAAGGGAAGAAACCAAAAAAAAAAGAAAGGAGAGTTACCACGCTCGATGATAATTATGTCCCCCCTCTCCTTCCTGTGCCCCGTTTTCTCTCGTATCCTTAATTCATTCGTTATTGCGTGTCTCTTAGAAAGATGTCTAGCTGAAGACTTAAAGATGAAGAATTTATTATCATAATCATCATCATCATTGTCGTCATTGTCATTATCATCTTCATCGTCGTTATTATTATTATTATTGTTGTCATCGGTGCAAGAGAGAAGCGAAAGCGTGAAAAAAAAAGAGTACCTCTTCGATGATGACATTTAATAAGCACTATATAATTTAGGAGCGAGTGAGTGACGCGAGTCTCGGGTGAGCACGAGAAGTGTGAGTGACTGGCGAACTCGTGAAATTCGTTAGGAAATCAAATTCGTATTGTTCGTGCCACGATTTCCATAAACTTTTCGGTCGTACTCGCAACCGTGGATCGTAATACCGCGCGTCGGTAGGAATTACGATTGATGAACAATGGAGGGTGGAGAGAGAGAGACGCACTGACGGACACAAAAGCGAGAAACGAAACGGATCAGTGGTACCTCGCGTACAGTGCAATTAACAAAGATATAAAAAAAAACTATTATGCTGCCGTATAAAGAAAAAAGTACGCAAAACGATCAAATACGGTTGAAGGCACGAGCCACTTAACGTGAATATGTATATCGATATATATCTGCTAGTGCCATTCGAATGCGAATCGTGGAACGAACAAGTAGAATAATATAATAAGCAGATATAAATAAATAAATAAATAAATAAATAAATATATATATATATATANTCTCTCACTCTCTTTCTCTTTTGCGCAGTTAGTACGACTGTTAATTAAATCTTTATTCGCTAAATCAATTGATTAATCCGTTAGCTTAGACTCATGTAAACATTTCTTGTTCTCCTCGTCCCTCATATTCAGACAGTCATCACAGAATGAGAATGAAATATTTTCCTTGTAATCTAGCAACACGTTTAACAGTCACGCACACAGTGATTCCATACACGCATCACTAGCACATGCAACGCATACCATTCATTCCGCGCGATTGATTCAATGAATTTAATTATATATATGTATGTATATATATATATATATATACATACATATATATAATTAAATTCATTGAATCAATCGCGCGGAATGAATGGTATGCGTTGCATGTGCTAGTGATGCGTGTATGGAATCACTGTGTGCGTGACTGTTAAACGTGTTGCTAGATTACAAGGAAAATATTTCATTCTCATTCTGTGATGACTGTCTGAATATGAGGGACGAGGAGAACAAGAAATGTTTACATGAGTCTAAGCTAACGGATTAATCAATTGATTTAGCGAATAAAGATTTAATTAACAGTCGTACTAACTGCGCAAAAGAGAAAGAGAGTGAGAGAAAGGAAGGGACGAGAAGAAAGGTAGATGAATCTTTATAGAGAAGAACAAGAGAAGGACGCGTGTGTGTCTTTTGTTCGTACATGTATGTGAGGAGGAGGACGGACACGATAAATTCGTTCGTTGCGCGCGAGAAGACATAGACTTTTAACACGTTGAAACATGGGAGAAACAAAAAAAAAACCGAGAACACGCTGTATCCGAGTTGCGGCGGAAAGAGAACAGTATGATTTGTATACTGTATAACTTTAGTCGTTTACCATTGCTTTCGAGAATATATAAGAGTTATGTGTATAAATTATTATGTGTAATTAAACAGAAGTCATTTAGTAAGTTCTAAGCGTATACATATATATATATACATATATACATACATAATATATAAATAAGAATAGAGAAAACAAGGACGCATATATATATATATATATATATATATATACTCGTATACATACACTCGTGTGTGTGTATATATATATACATAATATATATGTATAAATTGCAAGAGCAAAGTCGCTGTATCATACGTTTGTGTAACTAAACTTAGTAACGATACACAATTATGAGAATTATAATGATACAATAAACACTTACCGTATGTCTTATGTAGATATAGCGTATGTGGCGGTCGGCTGCCAAGAGTCTTATTTTTCTAGGCCGTGCATTTTACCGGGCATCATTTTAACATGTCGCGCAAAGAGAAAAGATACACAGCTTGCTTTCCTTATTGTTACATTTATATTCTTGCGCAACGCGTGAGCTTAACGCCATGATTTTGTACAAATGCAAAACAAGCGCTTCACAAAAATGTTCATAAATACAAAGAGAGAGAGAGAGAGAGAGAGAGAGAGAGAGAGAGAGAGAATGAGAACGAATAATAGTAATGATAAGGAAATAACACGTATGAAAAGTAATATCAATTCTCATGATATTCATTGTATTACGATATAAATATGCTCTAAGCCACTAAGGAGACACCGGCAGCGTTCCGTTTTCAACGCTCAGCTATGTGCGTCTTCAAGAACGTGAGCTGTGCTCTGGATTCCAGCGCGGCCAGTTCGGCCACGATCGGAGCCATTTGTTGAACGTGATTCTCGTAATTAGAACCTACGAAGAAGATACAGGTTTTGCAACAATCCGTTCGCAGCGAGAGGTAGTATCGTATGCGTACCCATTCCCACTCTCTTTTCACCGTACGTAACCTTCCCGTCGAACTCGTTCAGCGGCACTTTTATGTCTGTCCCGACTTGCTGAATCGTCACATTCAGATGATCCTCGATTTCCGCCAAATACTACAGAGGTAACGGTTATTAATTATAGTTTGATGGATCGAGTTTGTCTCATCTAACAATGAGAAGCAATAGCCAATTATTCGTACAGAGGGAACTCACGTTAGGCTCGTTGTACCACGTACAACAGCCACCTTGATCGGTCACATTGGTGTTCTGGCAGTTCCTGCCGCGAGAAGGACACCACTCGCCGTGATACCAGACCTTCTCCGGCACGCTGCTGACCAGAGAAATGGCCAGACCCATTCTCTCCGCTCTGCCGACTCTTCCGATGCGATGCACGTAATTGGACTTCTCGTCGGGCAGAGTGACGTTTATCACTGAAAAGGCCGAAACAACGACACTTGAAAATGCGCGTCCTTCCGTATCGCTTCAACAACAATCACTCACTGAACGGCAGTCCGGTGATGTCCAATCCTCTGGCCGCCACATCGGTGCATATGAGGAACTTGACCTCTTGCCGCTTGAACTTCTCCAGGTTGGCCTTGCGCTCCGCGGGCTTTCTGTCGCCGTGCAGACACACGCACGACAGCTGCTGCCCGCCGGCCTGCCTCATGAAACGCTCGAGATTGTCGCAGTCGAGCTTCGTTCTGCAGAATATCAACGCACGGTCCATCTTGTGCTCCTTGATGGCGCGAACGCAGTACTCGCCCTTCAGTATCTTCACTGCCTCCGACAACGTCTCTGCGGGACAGATATCTCTTTCTTGTCTTGCGCGGTCACGGTTATCGTCCGACTGGCGGTACTAACCGGCGGTGCTGTTCCCCGGTCTCACGTTGTCTCTCACGTGCACGCCGTCGGTCTCGATGTGGTTCCTCAGATTGTGCCACGACTTGTCCTTCTGCGGGTCCACCGACACCACGACGTGATGCACCGTCTCGGGCACCGCGTCCTCGCCTTTCAGGTCCACCCAAGTCGGGAAATGCATCAGACGCTCCTGCAACGAGAGAGACGAATGTATCTTCGATCGATATCAGCGATCGTATCAGTGACGCCTTACAGCCATCTTCTTCACTTCGAACGCGTGCAGCGTCGCCGAGCACACGATCATCTGCAACCTCTTGCCGTCCGACGTGATCTTCGGGATCTGCTTGTGCAGACGGTCGATGAGCTCGGTGTACCCCTGCTTCAACAGCCCGTCAGCCTCGTCCAGCACGAAGAATCTGAAGAAAATATCGATGCACTTATGAATCTGACTTCACTTTCCTTCAGGGTCGATTGAACTAACCTGCAATGGGTCAACAGCAGATAACCACCTTGTATAAGGTCCTCCAGTCGCCCGGGAGTGCCGACTACTATGTCCACGCCGGAGTTCAAGGTGGCAATTTGATCTTTCACGTTCACGCCGCCGATAACGAGCAATTCTCGGATCGTCGGGTCCTTCAGATACGTCTTGAACTGAAAAGTAAGACGATCCTGTCAATATCGTGACGCATAACATCATCACGAAGCATTCTTCCTCTTCTGGCGTACCTTCTGGATCTGATTGTAGGTTTGTTCGGCCAATTCGCGAGAGGGCTCTATGATGATCGCCTGGGGCGCGTTGCTCGTCGGCTTGCCGCTTTGGCTCGTCTGAGTCTGGCTGCTGTTAACAGGATTGTGTTTGACGGATTCTCTCGGCGACGACGACACGGCCACGTAGTCGTTCGGGGGTGGGTGCTTGAACGGCTGCGCCCCGAAATTGAAGGACATCTCGGCGTTCTTCAGTACCACAGCCGGATAATAGGCCTGCGACTTTTGCTGGGCGTTCAGCATAAACGCGACGCCCAGGTCCGCGCCGTTCTTGCTGAATTTGATTTCACCCTTCACCAAGTCGAGGAAGCATCCGATCACGTCGTGCATCCCAAAGGCCTCGCCGTAATTGTCGAATTGTTTCGCGTTCGATTTCTTGCCGGTACCGCCGAATCCGTAGCCGAATTTATCCGTCCCCAGATCCAAGGCAGCCTATTCGACGCATACAAAATCACATGTAAAATATCCAACGAGTAGCATCGTCTGTAAGAATACCTACCTGAGACGTAGACCAGCCTACTCGGCACAAACCCTCGTCGGTCACCATTGCTTCGAAAAAGTACTTGCCACTTCCCAATACTCCTTTGTTCGCGCGACAACCATGCCACTCTTTCTGCTCTCTGCTCTGGCATCTCAAGCCATCTGGTGTCACCGCCAAAGCTCGACCTCTATCAAACAGGCTCAATCCCCAATGTGCAGCTGTAAGATTGCTGAGTATTCGCATCTTCCTTTCTTCAAAGACAGATTTTTATAACACTGGAATTGTCAAAGTTGAATACACACATTGCTGAACCTGCGCGGCTGCTCCGTCTCCTTTACCAGATTCTAAATCTTTGAGAGTCTCCCAGACTGTCTGCAAAATAGGCAAACAGAAAGCACCGGTTTTCCCACTGCCAGTTTCCGCCGCCATGAGTACATCTCCACCACCCAGAATCAAAGGTATAGCCTCTGCTTGAACATCCGTCGGCAATCTGCAAGTTTACAGTCTCTTAAGAATAATTGATTCAGTGTATCGTTACTTTTGACATCTTTATATCCTCAGATTATCAAGTTACATATTGTTCCTATCTTTACTCACGTCCAATCTATATCATCGACTGCCTTTCCTATTTCTGGCAAAACACCCATTTCTGAAACATAAACATACTGATCATACTGACACGAGATATAATTGATTGCACAAACTGACATAATCATTTTATATTTGAAAACAGACTGAAATTACAGCACGAACCTTATTAGAAATACTTTACCTTCGAAAGCAGTCATTTTTGTCTAAACAGTACTTCCTTTGATATAAACAAGAATAATGTGAAAAGGTTACATTAATTTGTAAGCGCGTGTGTCGACCGGTCTTCCTCGATTCTGTACTCTGGAGTTTGAAGGCAAATGGAGCAGTCAAATTGTCACTTGCATACAATTGCAACTTTCTATAATCGCAATACGATCTTGATTTGCGGATCAAAACGATGATAATTCGTATTGATATTCGTGGGAATTAATAAAAGTCTATCTCCGCACGGAAGGTTATTCGATTGCAATACTGAAAAACTCGTCTGATGTATCGTTGAGGTGGACTACTTGAAAATAAAGGTCCGACTGATCCAATCATGCAGGATTCACACTTGGTCTGTTCTTTTTAGTTGAACTGGCTGCGCTAGTTAAGAAATTTACATACCCTAAAGTCGAGCGACATATAGGGAAATAAAGTTTTCCTCCACAAATTTTGAAATGATTTGAGGTTTCCGAACGCAATCCAAATATAGTCGAACGAGACGCTTCCCCTATTAAGACTTTACCTATCGATAGGTCTGTTCGTTTTCGCTGCGCCGTTGAACTAGTGCAATAAGTTGAAGTGAGAAAACATGTTTCGCTTCAACTTATTGCACTAGTTCAGCGGTGCAGCGAAAACGAACAGACCTAATATATATATTTACATGTTTCCAGTGCTATATACGTAACACGACGCAGTAAACAAAACTGAGATGTTTTGATAAAGAAAGCAACTCGTAACTCAGCAATTCCTAGCAGTAAAACTTGAATAAACTCCGGAATGTTTCAATGGACGTAGTATTTAACAAACTGAGCGAAAGATAGCACCGCGAAAATGACCCCGAAACGAAAAGCAAGTATAGTACAAGTATTTGTAGGTTATATGACAAAGTGATCAATTCTGTAAATACTTTTCTCACCAATTGTTGCCACGTATTGCCGTAATAACGATTGAACGTTGTATTATGCGCGTTTAGTTGAATACGTTGGTCACTATTCGTTTCAGAAGCCAATAGTTGTATGTACAACATTATGTTTTCTAGACGACGAGTTCCGAATCTTCGTCGACGAGCAGCTCGGGTTCCTCGTCGAGTAGTTCTTCGAGTTCGGACAGCGAGTCCAGTTCATCCGATTCCGAGAACTCCAGTAGTTCCGCCAACAGCCAAAAGGTATCCGATACCGATAGAAACAAGAAGAAGCCGTCATTCCCAGCGACTCGTCATGTCAGATCCAAAACTGAAGCAGTTTCCGTGCAATCTCTGGAGAAAAGCAAAGAGAGGCAACCACCGAAACCCAGGCCGATAGTGTATTCCTCCGAATCGGAAGAGTCGCCCAGCAAAGCAAAGTCTCCACAAAAAAGGAAACCTCCGGCTAAACCAAAAGCTACTGCTACGGTGGCACCAGTTGTTAAAACACAGAGACCTCCCGCGAAATTGGCGCCTCCACCAGGACAGCATAAAGCAGCACCTGCTTCGAAGCCAGTCAACAACAAACCCAACAAATTTTCTGGTACGTACTGTAACGTAATACACATGCTTCTATCCCGCATATGTAATTGATAACCTTCAAGGTACGGCAAGTGCCAATGGGAAGGCTCCTGAGAAATCTGGAAAAACGTCGGAGCCGGTACAAAAAAGATTGAAGAAAAAGAGCATATTCAGTCCTGAGAACAGCAGCGAGAGCGAGAGCGAAGAGAGGGCTACTGCAAAAGTTAGCGCGGTAAAGCCGACGAGCAGCACTGCGAAATGTTCGAAAAATCCGCCTAAAGCGAAGTTGAGTGATACCAAGCAAAAACCCGCAGTGGCGAGCAGACCTGGTGAACAATAACATATATATTGTGCTATTGACAATTTTGGGAGTTTTACTTGAACTCAAGAGGTCAATGCGTATCTTTTACAGTTGCGAAGCCCGCGCAGCTGCAGAAGTCGGACAGTTCTGCGAGCTCAAAGAGTTCGGCGTCCTCGGCCAGCACGGACAGCAGCTCCGACTCGGAATCGTCGGAAAGCATCGCCAGCGCTCAGCCTTCGCCGAAGAAAAAGGAAACGCAGGCAAGCAGCACGCTGACGAATACTGTGACCAGTGTGCCGCCTAAGAGGCCCTCGGCAACGGTCGCTCCAGTGAAAGCTCAGAAATGCACGAAACGGCAAGGTGCGTTAACGGGTGCCTTGATTCTTAACGATGTGCTGGCATCAGATGGACGACTCTTTGATCTAATGTTATTTCTATGAACAGAGAGAAACGCCATCAAGAGCGAGGACGACGGGGACGCGTCCGTGAGCGACAAAGAGGTGGAGGATCACGGGGAGGCGTGCACCACGAAATCACCGGCTAAGGGCAAGCGAAAACTACAGACGCGCAAGGGAAGTAAATTGCTCCTCCTGCAAACGAAAGCAGCCAGCGATTCCGAATCTGACGCAGGTACGAAAGACGGTAGATAAGTTTAGCTTGCGCGAAGTTGTGAGTATGCGCTTATGTCGCGTGTAATTTGTGAAGAGAGCAAGAGAAGCACCAGCAAGTCCCCGGTCAAACGCGCCGGCCCGTCCACGGCTTCCAGACAGACGTCGGCTGCTAACAGATCGGCCACGCAGAGCAGCGGTGCCACCGCCAACACCACCGGTAACAGAACAAGTCAAGCTCCTTACAACCGGGCACGCGCGACCAAGGAGCGGGAATGTCCGCTGGCTGCATCCTGCGACTCGCGGGGCCATCTCTCCGGCAAGCTGGAGTCGCACTTCACCCTGGAGGCGTGTCCGTTGTATCACAACACGACGCCGCAAGCTTGCGTGTAAGTTGATCGGGCTTTTGCTTTGGAGTTGACATATCTCTTGCGATTTCGACCTTCCAGAGAGTTTTACAAAGAGAGGAAGAAGCGGGAAGAGGAGCGCAAGAAGGCGATCGCGAATTTGGCGAAAAAGTCGCCCAAGGGTGTCCATCAGACGACCGAGCAACGCAATTACCAGCTGAAAGTGCGAGAGGTGAGGAACAAGTGGAAGGCCGGCGACGTTAACGACAGCGACAGCGGCGGTGAGATCCAAGGGAACGAGAAGGACCGGCAGCCTCGGCTGAACAATCTCGCGCCCGACTACGACTTGAAACTATTCATGGAGGCTCAAGCGGTGGCGAGCGAAAAGATTGTAAGTGTCGACGAACGCTTTTAAGTAGCCGTAAAATTAAGAGGTTTTCTTCCAAGGCACGGATATATAGCTCGGAGGATTGCCTGAAATCGTAATTTCATTTCGTTACTTGAGACGCATCCTGTCGTACGTTGAGAGCGCTCCGCTTCATGGATACTTTCTTTATATGTTTAAGGAGAAGGAATTGAAAGAGTTGGATTGCGACGGCGAAGGTAGAAACGGCGGCGGCACGCGAGTCGTCGAGATGGGAAAGTGGGAGATGGAAGTTTGGTACCAGAGCCCGTATCCCGAGGAATTCAGCCGTGCCCCGAAGCTTTACCTTTGCGAGTATTGCCTGAGGTACGCCAAGAGCCGTCAAGTACTGAGGAGACACAGGGAGAAATGTTTGTGGAGGCATCCACCGGGACACGAAGTCTACAGGTGAGTGCACCGCACTCGATATTCTGCTTCCTTTCCCATTACTGATTTCATATCTTTACGGCTAAGATAAGGTGGATAGATGGCCTCAAATAATCGTATGGTCGATCCAACTTGAGGAAGGTTGAGCTGTAAATATCGAAATCCCCCTTTAGCGCGACGTTTCGTGAACAATTTCAGTTCACTTCTTCAGGATGAGGAATGATCCGAAACTTCAGGTCGAGGCGCGGCCTCGATTTCGGATCGTTGAAGAAGTGAACAGTGAAAAATGGTCACGGTGTTTCTTCACCTTCTCCGTATCTTTTTGTCCTTTTTCCTTTTGATCGCGGTTTCAACAGCTCGGGATTCGAACGGATCGGAAGTGCATGCATGATCTGTACGTTCGCAGGAAAGACAAGATTGGCGTATGGGAAGTGGACGGCAAGCGGTATAAGCAGTACTGCCAGAATCTCTGTCTGCTGGCGAAATTTTTCTTGGATCACAAAACGCTCTACTATGACGTGGAGCCGTTTCTCTTCTACGTAATGACCATCGGCGATTCCGAGGGCTGTCACACGGTCGGATACTTCAGCAAAGTGAGTGCAATTTCCTCACTGTCGCGCTAATTCACACGTCCCGCTCGTTTTCCACGTTACAATATTCATAGCGTGGACTCGATGATGAAGTCTGTGTTCGAGTCCGACACAGGTGGCAACCGAGAGTAATCTTCTCGATTAATGTTAGGGCGAAAGCTATTTCGAAACAAACGAGCGAATTCGGTCGATACACGGGCGAACTCTCGCGCGGAATAGTCGGTTAGGTGGACGCAAGAGAAGACGTCTGTTTTAATTCCGCGCGTGATCAATTTTCGACGGTCGTCATCGTAATTTTTAACCTTGCGTTACAACCTCTGGCGGTCTGTCACCTGATTCAGGCTTAATTCGGCTTATCGGCGCCGCTGAATTCGTTCCGTACAAGCGAGAGTCCACTACGGCTGGCGATAACGTCACGTGCGAGAGATCCTCACGAGGAACAAATGAGAGCAGCGGGAAAGTCGGCGAATGCTCGCCGAACAGCTGAGCTGCCGTCGGAAAATAAGATCGAACGTGGTGTGTGAAAGAAAAACGCTCGCTCTCTCGGCGAGAAGTTCGGCCTCGCGTCGAGTCTCGGACAACCGGCAACTGGGGAGTGGCATTAATGCCCGGCACGTGTGTTTACAGGCACGGTCGGCTTCTCTCTCTCCGACATTTGCGTAAACGGCGTCACGGTTGGCGCAGAGGACGTTTCTTGCGCGACCCCCGCGTATATTGCGGCAATCATCCGCTTCGTTAGCGAAATGGAAACGAATCTTGACGCGATTGCGTTAAATTCATTATCGCGAAATCATTATCTCGTCCCGTTCGCGCGCGCCAATTACCCCGCGCGCTCTCTCTCTCTCTCTCCTCCTCGACTTCGTTCGGACTCCTCAGCTTGAAATTCTAATTACTTTTCCGTCGCTATACCCGGGGTTTCGAGTCACCGGGAGAAGTCCCGTCGCGTTAAAGTCCACGCAAGAGTTACGGTAGTTCGCGTCGATATATTCCGCGAGCGTAAGAATGTCATTTCTGTTAATGAGGCCGTTATTCGCGCGAAACTTTACGTTTGAGTTTTAATTCAAGTTCGATTCGCCGTCGGCGGTCTGTGCGATCTCCCTCCTCCCCCGGTCTTTCTTCTTTCACGGCTTGGCCCGCTCGTAATGGCATCCACGTAGCGCGCACGGATTACGCGAACAAGGGTGCGCCTCGTGAAGAGAGGGTGTCTCTGACCTTTCTCCGGCCCCGCCGCGTCGGGCGGTACACGCACACGCTCGCACGGTGTGTTGCCAGCGAGGGGGTGGGGGGGACCATGCAGGCCTATTTACCGCGGAACACAGCATCGCCGGGAGTCGAAATCTTTACCGACGTTCAACGACCTCTGACCCTGGCTGGCAAGACGCGCCAATCCGCACCCTCCCAGACCCTCCCGCTGCTGCGAGAGAGGACGAAAATTTCCTCCGACTTAAACCCTCGCCCTCCCTAATTCCCCTTTGTCTTCCGTCTCTCAGCGAGACGTCTCTCCTCCTCGCGACCGATCTGTCTCCGTCTCTTCCTCGCCCTCCCCTTTCTATTTTCCCCCCTTCTCGCCCTTTTCTTCTTACTCACGCTCGACCAGCCGAAAAAGAGGAGGGCCGGACGGGGGGCACGAGATAAAAGAATGGGGATTATCCTTTCTACAAATTGTTACGGCGGCATCTTGACAAGCGTGATCGTGTTATCGAGGTTTTAGCGCTTCTCATTCAATCGACGCGACCGTCTTATCGCGTTCGTCACGTTCCACACACACACACACACACACACACACACACCCGTACACAAGGTATATCTCTCAATCTTTAACAATCGTGCTTTCCCCCCGTTTCGCAAGTTCGCCGGAGTGCATTCTTAGCTTTTGCAATCGCGCACGCAAATTGATTCTCGAATATTTTTGTCGACGCGAACGCGCGCGCGTTTAATCGAGAGCGACGATAAAATCAATAGGCGCGCCTTGAAACTCGTATCATGTAATGCAGGCGGTGTATCGCATGCATACACGCGCGTATGCACACGTGTAATCGGCGAAGGGTCGTGTATAGATTGTCACGCTCGATTTTAGCGGTGAATTTCACGAAAACAACCGGTCTTTATCGTCGTCGCGGAGGGTGTCAAATTGCGTTACATCTCTCTCTCTCTCTCTCTCTCTCTCGCGTAAGAGAGGGCGTGTCCCGCCGTAAAATATTCAGTTAAATTTCTCAAGTGCCCTCCTCCCCTTCGTTCGAAATTACATCACGGCGTGACCTCCGTGAGTCGTGAACCCTCGTTCAGTATCGCGAGTCGTTTTCACGCGAAACGTTTCGCCGTTTCCCGAAACACGTCGCACGCGTGAACACCAGCGGGGTGCTGCAAATGTAAAACGGCACCTGGAGAATACTCAGCGCTCATCCCGTTCCCGATGATAATCGAGTCGTGACTCTGGCCCGATGAGCAGTACTTAATCGGGAATACGATGTCTCTTATCAACGCTCCGGAATAGGCGAGCCGTCAACTCGCTTTTACGCCCGTAAAAATAGACTGACATTGGTTCTCGTTCCGCGTTATTAATATTGGCGGATCGACCCGCTGCATCTCCACCGCTGTTGGCCGACTCGCTGGCGGCAGGTTCGGACGGCCGGCAAATTATGTTACATTCTGTATAAAAGGGTGTAAAACTCGCTTCCTGCATCCGCAACGGCGGCGGCAGCAGTGGTGGTGGTGGCGGCGGCGCGAAGTCAAAATCTTTATAGACGTTCAATGACCCCGACCCTGGCCAGACGGTCGCAGCGTAACGCTGCTGGTAGTGATGGTGGTAGTGGTGGTAGCGGTGGTGGCGACGGCCGGGATACGAGGGATGAAGGGTACGAGAGAGGGGTTTGAGGGTGGCCCTGCTGCTGGCGTACGCTATGCATGCGCTTCACGATGTACGGCACCAGGTGGAGAGTGGGGGTCGCAGGACGGGGGGTTGGTTGGGGTGGTTTAGGTGGTTGGCCGATGGCGTGGTGGCCGTGGAGAGGTGGTAGCTGCAAAAGGGGTTGCGATGGTTGCGGAGGGCGTCGGCGCGAGAGGGGAAGGAGGGCGTCGCCTGGCGTCGGGTCGTCAACCTTTCTGCAGCACTGCGACGTCGTCGGGGTCGTTATTATTTCCTCCTCCTCCTCCTCCTTCTCTCTTCCTTCTTCTTCTCATCCTCCTCCTCCTAGTCTCGGCACGTCTTTGCACGCTCTGGTCGCGTCCCCTTCGTTCTCTCTCTCTCTCTCTCTCTCGCTCACTCACTCACTCTCGTCTTTCCGGTTTCTCCTCGAGGTGCTGCGTGTTCTCTCCTCCCCCCGTCGTCTCATTCCCTCTGTCTCTCTCGCGTGTCCCGTGTTTCCGTTCGGTCCGTCTTAACGCGCTTTCTCGACCGCTCACCCTTCGATCCATCTTCGTATCCTTCTTCGCGCGACTTCCGAGGACGTTCTTCCGCGATCTCGCCCCCGAGGATCGTTGGTGCGTGTACACACGCTTTCTCCCTATCTTCGCGCGAAGTAAGCATTCCACCTGATGTCTTTCACCTTCGCGTACTATTTGTCTCGGCGTACACCACCCCTTATCCTCCCCGATCTATCTCCCTCGTCTCTTGCGTTCCCTCGCGCAATTCTCGCGATCGTTACCACCCACATGTAATCTCGCACACGTTCAAGCGTTCTGTCTCTCTCTCTCTCTTCGTCCTGTTTCGATGTAACTAAAATGCGCGAGCCGATCGTAAAGGCCGGATTCCCGACTTCATCTATTTAACATAAAGTTCACTCTCGACGGTCGCATCTGTCCGTTGAAGCCGGCGCGGACATCCGAGTCATAACTTCTTACGATTCCCCGTCCCACGTTTACTGCAGGTTCGTCGTCGTCCTGGCGATCTCTCTAATACGACACCGTGTCGATCGCGGTGGATATTGCGTTCGATATTGAATTTCCAAGCATTTGCTGCGTCTTTGAACGTGTCCACGACGTTCCCCCGGCTTCGCTCGCACGGCTTCAACCTCGTTCCCTGCTCGCGTTTCCTCGCGTCGAATTTCATCCCTCTCCTCCCACCCTTCTCTCTCTCTCTCTCTCTCTCGCTCGCTCGCTTTTCCGCCCTTCTCGCCGCCACCGACACCGTCGTCGTCGTTGCTGTCGTCGCCGTCGTCGTCGCGTTAAACCGCAATGTCGGCGCCTCACCCTGACGCTGCGGAGCGGCCACCACCCCGAAGCGAACGCCCGGGATCTCCCGGGACGTGGATAGCGCCGAAGGTGGAGTTGGCCGTTTTTGCTTCTTTACCTTCCTTTCGGTCCCCCAAACCACCGTTTTCTCTCTCTCTCTCTCTC